TCGTAAGGATATCCGAGTGAGTCGATTCGTTGAATCCCGTATTTTCGAAAATTATTGACACTGCCTATGAGAATAAAAGCATTGATAAGATCTCAGACGGCCACTCCGCTATAGTAAAGTCAGCTAAATGTTTCTTGATGCAGTAAAACCTTTACTAACATATAATCTGTACAACACACCACCACAGTGGTGGAGTGGTGGTGGTGGGGGGAAGGCGATTTTCCGGACCTAACTGATTTTTATATTTTTAATATACGTACCGGTTTTCTTTCATATTTTCTGAATTTTTCTCTAAATTTGCCCAATTTTTATATATAAACTTCGAAATTTGGAATCTTATCCGTTTTTTTGCCGGGTGGAGGACCCCTCACTTTTATTTGGGGGGAGGCTATAGCTCCCCGTCCCGCCCGCTATGTACCACCAAACAACGGTCAAGGTGTTTCAGTTGTTTGAAGGTTCCATATACCTCTCATGACGTTGTTCAGCAATATTTTCACATAAGAATCCCTATCGGGTCTTGATTGCTCATGGTAGAATCCTATAACATGACCTTAAAAAATAAAAAGGGAAGTTTGATTGTTAGATGATTAATATTGTCTTTTGTTAGACAGGCTAAGTTCTATAGAATCTTGGTAACGAGAACAAATACCTACCTAATTCATGAAGGAAAACGCGATGTTGAAAACAACCTGGGCCGAGAAACAATGGAAGACCACGGTACTTTTTGGGAGATTGAAGTGCTAAAGGTTCGTAACCAACAACGGCCTGACATCTGCAAAGCATGTAGACTTTTTTCTTAACTATAATCAGCAAACACAACAGGTTTATATCTGTTCAAACACTGGACCAATAAGGGAAGGCCCTTACTGGGTCTCTACAGAAGAACAGTTTAAAACTGATGGAGCTATATCCAGTATAAATAAAGTTAGTTTAGTTCACATTTAAAATGCTTAACCGTTGACTCAAATTGTCGTCATCTCAGTGCAACAACACAACACAACACAACTACACAACACAATAATCTTTATTTATAATAGTTTTGTTTGTGGAACACCACGTAAATTTATTACTGCAATCCTCATCCGTATCCATTTTTTTCATAAATTATTTACATAAAATATTTAGGGGGTTTGATAATTATTAAAGATTGATGCCTCAAAACAAATTTCAAAGTTTTTAATTAAACATATTTCAGATCTGGGTACTATCATCAACATCTTTGAAGGGCAAGACTTACCCAGCACGGTCTCCACGTATTTTCACGTAAACATCCCCACTATTGTGATCATGAGGGACGAATGACAGGCAAGTTCCATTCTCCCATTCCCTCATTGCTTTCTTGATCTTATCTCTGTGAACTAAATGTTAAAGATTAGACAAGTATTTAGTTGTTTTTTTATTTATTGGGCAGCAAAATTGTTGGCATATCGAAAAACGTTTAAAGGGTGGGCATATCGAAAAACGTTTGAAGAAACATCGCTATTTCCAAATGTTTCGGCTTCTTAATTTTTTTTGCTACAGCGTTAATTAACTAACACTGCACTAGCGCGAAGGCACAAACTTACTAGACGGCACAGAAGGTTCGATGACATATGGAATACGGCCATTGGGCCAGATATGAAGTTTAGTTGCGCCACGTTTTCTGCCTGTTGCCATGGAAATATCACCACCAGCTAAAGCGATTTTCTTGACTTCAGGGTCGACCAGCATGTCTCCTTCAAACAAGTTTGGGTTGTTCACATTTCTGTTTTCTGCATAATTATAAAATTAATTGATTAAGAGGAGAATGTTTTGCTTATATATTCAGCAAGTTTTGCTTGTATTGCTGCATAAATATGGCGTTTAAAAAGGTTGATAACTGTGTAAACTACAAAATAAAGCTAAAACAAAGTAATTTTGAGAGGAACACCAAAAAGGTCTTAAATACTTTTCATTGCTAATACGAGACATAGAAAACAAATTGCCTCTTAAATGATCCAATGAATGCGCCCAGTCCGCCCACCTGAACGGCTGAACCTTTTCTAATATTGAAACTTCTGTTGAAAATTAATTGGAACTCAATTTGCTGTTCGCATTAGATAAACATAACAAAAGAAGTTAAACACATAATTAAGTTAAACACAGATCTTACTTTCACAACAGCATATAAATAAAGTTCCGTTTTCCAATTCAAATTATAATGTACTTCGTTCAAGCCTTTTACGGCTTAGTAAATTTAGTTGTGGAACGAGAAATAAGTGCAATTTGTGAATTTGTCTTTGTAGTTGATGAAAAGTCATCAGAAGTAATTTTAACCGAATTGAATCGCGTCTAACGTTTCGTTCACAGAGACTGCTAGGATGGGAATAAAGCAGAAGTATTTTTTGGAGAACATTTTCCTGAGACGAACTTCACTCTATATCAAACGTTGAGGCAAAAATTTACTGATTTAATAAAAACGACTTTAATGTTCTTTTGAACAAAACATTTTTAACTAATGATCTTTTAACGCGACATCGCGCAAGTATGTTATGCATTAATGAAAGTGAAATATAATTGAAAAAAATAATCTATAAAAAATACCTTCGGGATAGCCTTTAAACTGCGCTGGTTTTCCTTCACAGGAGTTTACCACCAGTACTGTCAACACAAAACAAACCAGAGGAATCATGATTTATTTCAAAGCTTAAATCTTTTGACTGCGTACTCTTCAAATGCCCAACAAAAACTGGCTGAAATACATCCTACCCTCGACTTATAATTATTTGCGTTATTTACTTAACCGAAAGAGACTAATGAATAGAAAAAATGAATTAGTAAATAAGGCCGAAACCGCTTTGGTTCTATTTTCAACACAAAGAAAGTTAAAATTAGTATAGAGGGTTAAAGGAACAAAAAAAATGTTTAAGTGTGGGATTTGTATCAGAACTAGCCAGGTTTTACTGTAAAGACAGCTTTGCCAACAAAAAAAGATACTATTTATATAGCTTAATTCACACATGTCCAATACTGCCGCATTGGATACGAGTGTGTATACTATAATGTACGAGTTGTAAAATCCGTCATTGTTAAGACCTTCTTAACACAATGCTCTCCAATTGATACGGCTTGCACAGGTCCTACAATCCGTTATTTTATACGAGTTTTGTCTTTCACCAAATTAATACTCTTTGCTGTTTGCCAACATGATGCACAAACGTTTGACAAGTCGTTCTATTTGCCTAATTTGTCCGCTCGTTACGAGCCGAACAATTCGTCTGCTCGTCACCAAACCAGTTTTTTTTTCTTTTTTATTTTCCCGTGTACATTACAATTATTAATACATTATTACAAAATAAATATTTGGGCTAGAGACCGTACTAGAAACCTTTGCAGGCTTTTGTATCTAGGCCACTATACTCATGTTCCTATTTAGATTACTTTATTATTTACAGTAATTATTAAATGGGGATAATGGCATGCAGAAGAAAAGTTTTATATAGTATACAAGATTTTTACAGATTTGAGGTATGAATGGTAAATACTGTACTACAGTACAAAACAAAATAAAATTATACAAAATAATACTATATATGAAAATCTAATTAGTATATCTCTTCATCTTAATATTGTAAACACTACAGTCTGTAGTGTTTACAATATTAAGATGAAGAGATATACTAATTAGATTTTCATATATAGTATTATTTTGTAGAATGACAATGCATGGACATTGTCTGCATAAAGCCAAGTGTGATTTATGAATCTATGTATTTCAAACTGAATTTAGTATAAACTGTTGCTTAATTAGTTTCTTGAAGGTATTATAGAAGGCTTATGTGTTTCAGATTTGTTTCTAATTTGTTCCACACATCAACTCCTTTATTTGAAAGAGTGTGTTTTACATAATTTGTTCTCTTATAACATTTAAAAAGTTTTGTTGCGTTTCTCGTATTATGTTGATGAATTTGGTTGTTTGTAACGAAGTAGCCTAGTTAGTAAAATATTCTGGTAAATTTTTAAGATGATGATTCGAAACATAAATAAAGCAGTTAAATAATTGTTGATTTTAAAAATATCTAGTATATGTAATTCTTTGAACAAAGCCTCAGAGTGTTCCAAGTGCGTCAGTACGATTTAAATGTCATTGAGATTGTACTCAGTCAGAACATCAAAACTATATAATAAGAGAGATATTGTGAGCATTATCAAAAAATATAGGATACCCTGAATGTAGTGACACAGCCAGATGAATATATGAATGTATTATGTGGCCAGTAGGATTATTTCGTATTATGCTAACAATGGATATATCTCAAAGATATATTTTTACAGACCGTCATACCTTGTACAATAGTCGGTTGACATAATATTACATGTAACTGCTGGTAAGTTAATATGTGCAAACAACAATCCACACTAGGTTGCTATAGGAACATCTTTATATTTAAGCCTCAGTGATTATTACAGTAAGATTGTGCATACGCAACATTAATATGGCCACTTTTACGGGTCGTAACGACTCGTCAAATTGGCCCAATCGAACGACTCGGCGAACAGAGACCCTCTACCTCTACTATTCCACTTGCACTGTCAAATTAGGCGAATTTTACAACTTGTACCGGAATCGATGCGACAGTATTAGACAACTTTCGTTTAATTAACCAATAAACTAATAGAATTGAGCAGGGAGTTTTTGTAACCAAAATTACTTTACTGTAATTACTCCCACTCTCTGTCATAGAAATGCCGGATGATGTCTGCAGACATGTAATAATTTGCTAAATTAATGTCAATAATCGCCTTATAACTGGCGCTTTTACGCTTTTCCTGTTTACGAATTTAATTGCCAGAAGTTATACGTACATGTTTTTAAATATAACAAGGAGATCGAACAGGGAACAGACGAACAGTTGTAAATAACGTGAAAACTATACGTAACTCTTATAAAAGTTTTGAAACACTCGACCTTTCCCTCGTTTTCCAATAAAAACACCAAAAATGTCCGGAAAAAGTTGGCTCGAAAATTTCACCCCTGACTTTACGAAAACAATATGGCGGCAAAATACTGTCGTAAAACGATGTATTTTAGTTCAAAACTTACCATTAACTGAACAAATAAACACTGGGAATATAATGGGGATTATATATGAAGCTGATTTGAATTTAGGAAGTTGTTTAAAGCCCGTACAAATCTGAAAACTTGTAAAAATTTGTCATTTTGTATGGTCAAGGAGTGGAATAGGACAGGTCTATATAAAATGTCTTGCATATTCGTGACTAGAGGTTTCCATGGATATAGCGTGCAGTTTTCACCTTACGAAGCTAATAGACTTGCATGTGCTTGTTCTCAACATTATGGTATCGCAGGTATAAAGTATGTACGTAAAATGCATGGCACATAAGCGTATAGAGATGATGCTTTTTATTGCTTTCCAGGACGACAGCTGAAAGTTTGCCTGAATTTTTATGGAGGATTGTAATGAAATAACCTGATTTTAACATATTCTCTGCTAAATCGGTCGGATTTTTCTTGATTTCCCCTACCATTTGCCCAATTTTCAAAGGTTTTCTAAAGTTGGAGTCTCCCCCTGCCTCCTACACCTATGGCTTAGCCTGCCGGACATGATAGGCTATTGTGTCCAGCATGCTAAGCCAGTTAAGATTTTCAATTCTTCACTCCACTTGTCCCCTTTTCTTCTTTGATAATATATATGAATCCCTGGCAAATAAAAGAGTTACATACCACAGTTGGCTATTCATTGTTCTTCTGTCTAGGATGCGGTGCATTGTTTATTCTTGATATCTGTAAACAACAACAGCAAGGAGGCATGCAGTTATTTAGGAAGTGAGTGCAACTCGGAGAGTAATTTGTTTTTAATGGACTCGCAGGCATGTACATTTACCTGGGGGACAGCTCCCCTCCCCCCTGGCTCTGCCCACATGTGGTGGAGCATAAGGGTAGGACCTCCTTTTAAACCCCATCTGTTGAACAAAGAATTGACGTTTTATCTCCCCCATCTTTAAGATTAGATTGGCAAGAAGGATTATTTGACTGTTGTTGGAGTGAGACATCACCCAGTATAATAGCAAGCTCCAGTGCTGATGGAACCATTCAATTGTGGGATATTTATACACAACAACAGGTCATCATTGGACCATATTTCATAGTTACCAGGCTAGGAAAAGTGACTAGTTATGACAGGGAGGTTCAATGTATCTATAGTATTTGATATACAATGCCAAGGAGCTTATATAGTAATAGTGGCATCCTAAATCACAGCAGTTTAGTCATGGTAGAGATATCAGTTATGTATACTGGCATGCAGTTCAAAAATTTATTTTGCTTAACCCGAAGGAGTAACAGAACGCAAAAAATTCACCCAAGATGACAAACCCTTGTTTCTGTTTTAAAATTAGTTTAAAACGTATTGTGTTAAATAGCATCAATCATATTTTAAAGGTCCCAGTAGCAGTTTTCCAGGAACATTTGAAAGAGGTTGGCAACATTCCAACAATATCTTAGATGTATTTATAAGCATCGTTCACAAGAACGCTTCATCAATTTTGTTTAAACTATATCTTAAGGTTTACAGTATTGATTGGTGCACAATCCGTGGCAATAACAAATTACTGAGTGGCTCATGGGATAAAACCATTAAAATGGTATGTCTTAATCCGACATGATAAAAACGGACTTTCTACAATGCCTGTTGTGCATATGTTTTTCGTAACAAGATGTATTGAAACAGTGTTAAATGCGTTGAAATGTTTTCCACTAAATTTGTTTCCACTGTTAAAACTGTATTTAGTGGGATATGAATAACATACAGAACTCCTCGATAGCTACATTTGTTGGACATCAAAACACCGTTTATTGTGTTAAATGGTCACCACACATTTCAGATACATTCGCTTCAACGTCAGGTATGTTCCAAGTAGGCTGGAATGTCAGTAAAGTATAAGAGGAATAAGATCCGAGCTTAAGTACAGACGGCAAAAAACTTGTGCGATTGTAAACAAACATTGTCCACAAAAGCGAATCTAATCAATACGAAATGGTATAAGCATTTCTGTCTACCACCCTTCTCAAGCATATGCAACTCATTTCCCGATAACAAGACTTGTAACCAAAGGCCGAAGCACACAATACCACACAAAAACAACTTTTACTCAGTCTAGTCTTAGTCTTGCTAACCAAACTATCTGCCAATGAAGAGATCTTAACTCATTGACTATAGGTGATGAAACTATCAGAATCTGGAACTCCAACACACCTAACCCAGTGCAAGTTATTCCTGGAGGTAGCGGTGAAATACTCACATGTGATTGGACAAAGTATGATCAGGTAAAGTTCGATCGAAAGAAGCCAAAAGGCTAATGGTTTCAGTTTTGGTTGTGCCTTGGGCTCGCTCTAGGCTTTGTGGTTGGTTTACTGTGACAATAAACGACAATCTGTATAAAATATGTCTCTGAACACTTTTGTTTAAAGAAAGCAATCAAAGAACGTGGTCACTACCCGTATCATTGGTTCTCATGGCACACTATACTACTAATGCAGATCTTTTCCTTACAGAACATTCTTATTTCTGGGTCAACGAATAATCAGATCAGGTATGTCGGATTAAGTGTCGAGCTGATTGTTCCAAATTTCGTTAGCCTAATTTATACTGTGTTAAATTTTGAATGCTTATTCAGAGTATGGGATCTTCGCAACACGCAACAACCGATACATATTTTGAATGGTCATCAGTATGCTGTTCGAAGACTCAAGGTGAGTTTACATTGTGATTGTGTCAAAAGCATTTAAATCTCAATGGTTTCTTACTGAGCTTCACTATCATAAGTCATCGGAATATGATTTTATAATATTATATGCAAGATAATTGATTATTTTAGAGTAATTGGTAGTAATTAGTTGTTTTTTTATGTTGAATTTAGTGTTCACCACATAATCAAAGTGTGTTGGCCTCAGTTTCCTATGACATGACTGTCAGGTAAGGGCTGACGCAACAACAGTCAACAACTATAAAATCATTTGGAAATACGAAAAACAGTAATCTAATGATTCAAATCAATATATCATTTGATAGAACATGGGATTACGTGAAAAGCGACCGTCCACAAGAGACAATACAACATCACACAGAGTTTGTAGTTGGACTGGATTTCAATCTTCATCAACCATCAGAGGTATGGTTAACAAGTGCTATCCACACATTATTAGGCATGGTGCATTGCTAGCATTGGTGGTACCGAGCTTTTAAACGAATGCACACGCGCGCACAAAACGTTGACGGTTCAATAATCATGTGCACCAACAAAATGCTCATATTTTTAGATTGCAGACTGCTCATGGGACGAACGAATCAACGCCTATTCTCCTGTATCCTTACGACATTCCTAATTCATCTCTCAGCCTCCCAAAGTGTACATAAATGAATGAAATAATGAACAAGTAAAAATAATACAATTTTAATCACTTTACATCTACACAATGTAATATAATGTTGTTTTCATTTGATTGATATAACCTATTGTAATTGTCACCTAGTGAAATATTTTCTACATTTTGTTATAAAATCCACTGAAGTAAAAAAGATTTGGAATGATAGCTAAACAACTTGTCTTTGAAAAGTAAATTATTGGAATCAATTTGGGTGTAACAATTGTATATTATAGTCTCTAAACAGGATAGTTTACCAAATTAAACTTCAGAGGTTGCAATTTCCACGTCTTTTTAAGTTAATGAATCTAGAACTAGTGTACCTAATCAGTTTTCTTTCCTGCTTCCGTGGTTTGTTTATATCGACGAGAAGCTAACATCAGTCCGATACCAATGACGGCACAGCCTGTTGAAAGCCAGCAAGGTCCAGTTACACTGACCTCTTGTGCAAAACCTGCAATTGCAGGTGACATCATCCTTGCTACGGATGTCAAAGAATCTCCAACTCCCATCACTGCACCTTTTTCCTCAGGCTCAATACGCTTTAACATCAAATTATGTGAATTCACTCTCATGATAGCAGTGGAGAGCGACAGAGGAGCCATGCATATGAGGACTGTATAAATACTTGAAGATATAGTGATGCCAAATAATGACGATGTCATTAAAAGAGCTGCAAATGTCATCATTTTTGCGTCACTTTTTACATAACTATAGATAGTACCCATTGACATGCCAGATATTGCACCTGCGATACTACCATATGAGATGATATACCCTGTAGTCTTTGCATCTATTCCATAGCGGTAATCCAGCATTGAAGTAAAATTGCTACGATATATCAACATGCTCAATGACATGACAAAGCGAATGAGTAATAAGTCCAAGATGCATTGAACAGAGACAATTTTTAGAAAGCTAAAGAATTTTGAAAAAGTAGAACCACTGCTATCTTGCTTCTTATTGGCCAAGTCGTCGGGTTGCGTATCCAGGTTTTTACGTCTGGTGACACTACCACCCGATTGACTGCTTTTGTCCACAATTTCGATATCTTCAGTGTTCTTGCTTAACTTGGCTTCCTCTGATCTTTTCATTTTCTTGTTTTCAAACACAAGCCATATAAAAGCCAAGCCAAACAAGTAGACAGAACAGGTCATGAGGGAGACTTTAAAATATCCATTCTCTTGCATGGCCACAGTGCCTCCAATTATTGGTGCAATAATGAAGCCAAGACTACCAACAGCATTAAACCTTCCAAACACCCCAGCTCTCTCTTCTGGCAATGTGATATCAGATAAGTAAGCTTTCACTGAGGTTTGACTATGTTTTAAGATGCCTAAAGGTGTTTGAATAAAAGCTCATTAAAGTCTAAAATCCTTAATGGCCTGGTGTTTCTTGGGTCATGTAGCCTGCGAGAGCCTGCATCGATGATTAATGAATTTGAATATCTGCCCCGTAACGTTCGTTTTTCCAAATATGGAATGTCTATCCTTATATGGTGTTGTTTACAACTTTCGTGCAAACTAAATTTAGACCGTGCAAACTAAATTTAGACCGTACAGTTTATACTATTTTTCGAAATATAAGATATTCAAGCAAAAGTTCAAATGTTTTAAACACTGTTTTCTCAAAACAGAACATTTCGTGCTTTGAGATAAGACGGCCAAGACCAATATGATCAGTTAATGTGTTTTTTTATGCATAGTGCTTCGCAGTTGACATATATAGAGCTCAGCGGAAACATATAAATTATAGCATCTGGCCAATGAGAATTTCGCGTCACGATTTGAGACGCAGATATTCAAATTCATTAGTCATCGATGCAGGCTCTCAATTCAGCTTGAGAGCCTGTTCGCAGGCTATGGGTCATGGTTATAGTGCGAGTGTGTTTACGACACATGCAAAAGTTTGTACATTGTATTTAATGTTGCAGGTTACATGTTATAGGACTGTAAAGTATACTTTTCATTTGGCCCTGGCCACTATAGCCAAGGTCTATTTTGTCTTCTGTGTGCTGTATGCAAATCAGTCTCTATTGGTTGTCAAAATATTTTGAAAGTCATTCGAAGCTTACCTGTCGGAAACCTTGACAGGGCAAAAAGAAAGATGGTATCTGTTATCCCCATCATAAAGTAACCAACCAAACAGCCAATAAAACTGAGCAATAACACAGGTTTACGTCCCCATGCATCACTGGCTTTGCCCTATAACAGCAGGAAATTAGAACTGTGTATAATCTAACCTTATATGAAATTCTCAATTGATATTTTTCATACTCACCATATAAGGACTGGAAAAGAACTGTAAGCCTCCATAAATTGACCCTAGATATTAAAAGGAATATATTAGGATTTGATTTTCAATTTTTAAAGAAACAGAGCCACAGAGAGATTTCATCATGGATACCCTGGGTATATTTTCAACCTCTACATGATGGCTCTATCGCCTCTATGGTTTAATGCGAGCCTTGCAATTTCAAGGAGGGGGGGGGGGAGGCATTATATCCTCTTATAATGGTGGCTATATCAGTAATCTGGCCTCACTCTCAGGGACTCTGGGCAAGAGGGGTGGCCCCATACCAATATGATAAAAGACATTGAACACTGATCTGATCACTTTTACTTCGGTTTCAGAAAACCAATCACGAACCTACTGTAAGCCGGACATGCATTCACTTTGCAGATGCACTGGTCTAATAATCATTCACGAAACAGGTCAAAAACTAAACAGAATATCACCAAAAGATGCTAACCTATTACACCAAGAATCGAAGGCGAAACCCCAAGCTCCCTTCCACGACGATTAAATAACGGCAGAAGCATGCCAACCGCAAATAAATCCTTCGAATAAAGAAAATAACAATTAGTCAATAACTGAAACATTTCGCCAGTTCAACAACAAAGCCATGTCGCATTGTACATTTTAGAACACATGAACACACTTACCATGAAGGCAACTAGATAACAACATTGGATCAAGTTTTGACGAGAAACCATGCTGAAATCTTGCAAATGTGCGAGATGAATTTATGTCTCGAAGCTTAAAAGTCCAAGGAAAAGGCAGTTTCACACTTGCTCTGTTTTGTAATCTTTCTTGTCTGTATCAAACGACTGTGTCCAACAGTCAGTGTGACCAGGTTTTTTCAGGGGAAATTACTACATCCGGTTTCATAAATTACTACATTCGGTGCCATTTTTTCCCCATTTTCCCATATTTTCCCCAAAAATGTTGGCGACCGGGGGGGGGCACGAAATTTTTCCGGAGAACCACCTCTTAAATTAGGGGATTTGCCTTGGATATGCGCAACTCGCGTGTGATAGAAATTTGCGAGGTGGGTACATAGATATCTCATATACACTAGATAGCGCATCCCACCCTGTAGGCAGGCGAAAATTGAAGCCTGATCGCAGTCGCAGTTTACGTGCGGCGGCCATATTGGTCGTTCCCACGGAGCGTGATAATTTGTATATTTTGTATTGCGGAAATGAACAAAGTTGACAATAAATCCTCTTTTATGCAGTCAATTTTGGTTTTTCAAGTGTGCAACTTGTTGTAAATGATGCCAGATCGTTGGAGCTTCATATTGTGAATAACGGGTAGGCAGAATTTAATTTTTTTTTTCGAAAATATCAATATTTGTCGACCCGTGTGAAGGGCGCCCATAGGACAAACCTTATGGACAAACCATCATTGTTGATGTATATATAAATATAGTTCCACCAATTCCAAATAAAACATTTTGAGCCATCGCCATTGCTTCATGGCAAAATTGTGAATATATTTGCATATTCTTTTGTAAAAGACAGCGACACTGAAAAACATATTTTAGTCACAGTTTATCAATGGCAAAAATAGACTTTAATTATAAAATCTTAAATAGTCAATATATAAAACATTGATACCAAAAATGGTTCTTACACCTTACTATTTGTATATTTATTACATACATACAACATATCATATATTATTTTATAGTTTCATGGAATCATATCAAGATTAAAATGTGTTAGAAGCTAGAGAAGAATAATTGCAACTTAGTATATTCGCAGGCAATATAACATAATTGATATTGCTTTATGTAAATGTAGTTGATAATCAAACTTTCTAAAACCTTCAATTGTATGAATGCTTCAAACTATCTTTAATATTTGATGTTAAGAAATATTTCTTTCTGTTGAGTCCTAGACCTTTTGTTTTTAATTCAAGCAATCAAACTGCTAAATTACTGTAATTATTAACAGCATAGGTCATTGATAATCAGCTGAATTTTAGAACTGCTTTGGGAAACCCTATTTTGTAATGAGACACATTACTTCTTGCATTATTGTATATTGTATATTGTAA